ACACCCCCCACTCCCCCACACTCACCCACATACACACGCCATATACACTCACACACTCACACACTCACACACACACATACACCCACACCACACACTCACACACTCACACACACATACACACACTCACACAACACACACATTCACTCACACAACACACATTCACTCTCACACACACACATACACACACTCACACAACACACACATTCACTCACACAACACACATTCACTCTCACACACACACATACACACACTCACACAACACACACATTCACTCACACAACACACATTCACTCTCACACACACACATACACACACTCACACTCACACACATACACACATGCGAGTGTGCACACGATCTTCTCTCAGATTCATATACTTTATGTATAGGGCATTCACTAGAGCTTGAGCTTCCTATCTGGGGTCACAACTCTGAAGAAAACGACCCCCTTCCCCAGCGGCCATCAATTGCCAATAGCTCTTCAGCTAGGTGACGGGGAATGTACTGTGTATGTTTATCTTATTGATTGTTGAATAAAGTTCTGTTTGGCCAATGAGGCAGCATGTCAGACAGGACTAGGAGTCAAAGAGGATTCTGGGAAATGTAGTAGAGAAGTGTTGATCCAGGCAGGAAGTGACATAGCAAGGAGATTCATATTTAAGCGAAGGAGAAACAGGAAGGGTCCCTTTTCCCTTTGCTCTTCCAGCAGCACAATGTGATCCACCAGCAAGGAGGGACACCAATAAGGCATCCAATAAGATAAGTCTTATAAAATATATAGATTTATGATAATTAAGACTGAGCTAGCAGATGAGAATCCTAGTCATTGGCCAAGCAGCTTTGAACCTAATACTAGTTTCTGTGTATTCATTTGGGCCCTAACTTAGGCGGGTGGCTGGCATAAAGCTCACACGTGGCGGTGGGCTCAGGCGGCTTTTGGCAGAAAGATTTATCTTAACAGCTAGGGGTGGGAGCTGCAAGCCCCTCCCCGTCTGTGCTGAGAGTTTGCCCAGGTCGTGTTTGTGGAGTCACAGCCACGGTGAACTACTAGGAGCAGCTCCCCTGTCGTGTGCAACAGCACCCCACTACTTCCGGCTCTTACAGTCTTTCCACCCTTCTTTCCTTGGGGAGAAAGGAAGTGTGGAATGGACGCTCCACTTTAGGGCTGAGCACTGTGGTGTCTCTTGTTCTCTGCACCTTGACCTGGGAGTCTCTGTCAATCACCATCTATTGCAAAAAGACACTTCTGTGATGAGAACTGAGAGCCACATTAGTCTATGGGGACAGAGGAAGAGGAACACTGGGTTGTCATTTTGGTTAGGAAATTGGACAAGAGGTGCAGCTTCTAAAAAGACAGTGCTGGGAAACAAATCTGCCTCCTATGTGGCAGGTTTGAAGATTCACGCCCACTGTGGGCAGCACCATCCCATAGGCTGGGGAAAGGAGAAAGCCAGCAGAGAGGTATTACATCCCCTTTTTTCCAGCATCCTGGTCTGCACGGATGTGAGGGATCCCAGGGCATGCTCCTGCTGCCATTAGCTGTGCCCCGCCTTCCCCACCATGATGGACTGAGCTGCAGTGAACTCTTCTTCCTGTGAGGTTTTCTTGTTGGATACCTTTTCACAGGAAAGAGAAGACTCACAGATGCACCAGCCCTCTACTGGGCCATCCCAGAGACAGGGAAGCTTATCCTGGCAGGGAGGAAATTGAGCTCACACCTGACTACTGATGTCAGACAGCATGAGTAACTAATAATCATTCCCTTTTTACAAATTTTAAACTACTTCAAACAGCTTATCAATACATTTCAAAGGCTTATCAGTTTATTGGTATCCTCATTGAATTAACTTATCAGACTGGCACAGCTGGTCAGACCTGGAATTTAAGCCCCTGTGGGGTTTTTTTGTTTGTTTGTTTTGTTTTGTTTTTGCTTTTGTTTTTCAGTCTATGGCTTTCCTGCCATAATGTCACTTGGTCAGGACAACAATGCAGAACTGGGGATCTCTTTTCTGGGGACATGTCTTCCAGACCCCTTAGTGGTTCCAACCCATCTCACTGCTTATGGATCTATAATTTATTTTATTTTTAAGTGATTCCCTGGAACTAGTGTTACAGATGGCTATGAGCCACCGTGTGGGTCTTGGAAGCAAACCTGGGTCCTCTGCAAGAGCAGCAAATGCTCTTAATGGCTGAGCCAATCTCTCTGTCCCCAAATCTATTTTTCAAATGCTATCCCTGGATTCTGATGTATGGTCATGTTTAGGAGCCCCTAAACATGTTTTTTTTTGTTTTTTTCTTCTTTTTATTAAAAAGAAAATTATTTTACATGTCAATCCCTCTCCCTCCCCTCCTCCCCTGCCCCCCAAACTAATACCCTACCTATCCCATACCCTTTCTGCTCTCCAGGGGGTGAGGCCTTCTATAGGGGGTCTTCAAAGTCTGTCTTATTCTTTGGGATAGAGCTCAGGCCAACCCCCTTGTGTCTAGGCTCAGGGAGCATCCTCCATGTGGGATGGGCTCCCAAATCCATTTCTATGCTAGGGATAAGTACTGATCCACTACAAGAGGCCCCATAGATTTCCAAGGTCTAGGAGCCCCTGTTTTATGAAGTGAAAGGCAATAGGTTTTACCAGTGCCACTTTTAGATTTAGTTTATAAAGACTGTAATCAGTGTGTTTTAGACAATGGATCCTAACCGCTTTTAAAGGTCTATTTATTTTTATTTTATGTGTAGGATTGTTCGCCTGAATATATATATATTACATACATGCAGTACCGGTGGAGACCAGAAGAGGGTGCTGGAGTTGTTTGTGAGCCAATACATAGGTGCAGAGAATTGAGCCCAGGTCCCCTGCAAGAGTAGCAAGTGCTTTCAATCTCTGAGGTATTTCTCAGGCTCCCCGTTCCTAACCTTTTCAAGGCTACCTTACCCGTTAAGGATTTGTTAAAAATCTATGGGACACACACACACACACACACACACACACACACACACACACACACACTTTTACATAGAACTTATGTTACTGTACTAGTTAGCATTAACTGTCAACTGATACAGCCTGAAGTCACCTGAAAAAAAAAAAAAAAACTC